TTGCTTAGACAGTAGAAGATGTAAACTACATTCAGAATTTTCAAAGGAAACAACACAATTCGAATCCTAATACCTACTATCCAAGCTGGAGAAATCACCCAAACTTTCAATGGATTAATAATTAAAGAGCTCAAATCAGGCTACAACAGACTGCACCACCCGAATATCAGCAAAATGAGAAGAAGTCTTAACTTGAAGATCTTATGACTAAGTTAGCAGAAATATCTACTCAACACATGCAATGAATGTATAAGAGCTTTCAAGTTCAGGGAGCTGTCATAAAAAAATTTTGGAAAATCAAGTGAGACAAATCACTAAGGTACTTTCACAGAAAGTACTAAGAGCATTACCCAGTGACACTGAAACAAACCCTAAGGATCACTAGAAGGCTATAACCACTCGCAGTGGGATACAATTACCTAAAATAAATGTGAGGAAGTCGGTTACTACACAAAAGAAGTTACCTACCATGGTTGAGGAGAAGTTGGAGGAATCTGCCAGAATAAAGAACAAGAAGAAGCACCAAAGGATCTAAAGATTAAAATAACTGCTCTTGCCAAAGAAATGGTCCAATCGTTCCCATAGGCTACAAAAGCATAAACTGAACAAACAGTTCTCGAAGTTTCTTGAGGTATTCAAAAAGCGGTAGATCAACATATCATTTGTGGATGCACTTGCACAAATGTCCAGTTATGCTAAAATCATGAAAGAGATAATTCACCAACAAGAGAAATCTAGAAGATTTGGGGACAGTGACGTTGAATGAAGAATGTAATGCCATCTTGCAGAATAAGCTACCACATAAAGGACCTAGGGAGTTTTACTATCCATTGTACTGTTGGTACACATGAAATTTGATAAGGTTATTTGTGATTTAGCTGCTAGCATTAACCTTATGCTTCACTCTATTTTTAGGAATCTAAATTTAAGAGAGGTAAAGGCAACATCGATCTCATTGTAGCTGGCAGATAGGTTCATAAAATTTCCCAGGCGAATTATTGCAGACATATTGGTAAAGGTCGATAAATTTATCTATCTTGTGTATTAGTCATTCTTGACATGGTCGAGGAAGGCAAGGGTGTGCCATTGATATTAGGAAGACCGTTCCTTGAAACATGTTGAGCTTTAATAGATGTTCAGAAAATGACAATTTATATTTTGACTAAATGATAAGTAGGTGACATTCAACGTCTTCAATGCTATCAAGTATCCTACAGAATCAGATAGTTGTCTGTGCATTGATATAGTGGATTTTCCCGTGGAGGAGACTTTTATTCTTGAGCACCTTCAAGATCACTTGGAGAATCTTCTTGTACCCTTACGAGATAAAAAATTAACAAGTTGAAAAGATATATCAAATCGCCTACATTATGGAGTATGCTCCACTCATTAGGTGAAGACAGTTTGAAGAACTTGGTATAGGGCCTAGTAAACCACTACTTTCTGTACAGAAAGTACCGAATCTTGAGTTCAAGTAATTGCTATCAAATTTGAGGTATGCTTATTTACGAGAGTCATCTATACTTCCTATAATCATTGCAAATGAGATGACTGAGTTGGAAGAGAGAAATTACTAAAGATTTTGCAGGAAAATAAAATAGCTATTAGGTGGTCTATAGCAGACATACGAGGGATTTCTCAATCGATATGCATGCACATAATCTTGATGGAGGAAGACTATAAGCCAACAATGGAAAATCAACATAGATTGAACCCTATCATAAAGGATGCCATACGATTAGAGGTATTGAAACTCCTTAATGCAGGAATATCTATCCGAAATTTGATAGCAAGTAGGTTAGTCCAATTCATGTTATGCCAAAGAAATGAGAGATTACAGTGGTAAAAAGATTGAGAACAATGAGCTGATGCCGACAAGGCCAATTACAAAACGGCGAGTGTGTATATACTATATGAAGCCGAATAATACAACTCCAAAGGATCACTTTTCCCTGTCCTTCATTGATAAGATATTGGAAAGACTAGTAGGACATTCACATTACTGCTTCTTAGATGGCTCTCAGGTTACAATCAGATTGTAGTGACTCAAAAAGATCAGGAGAAGATGACATTTACATGTTTCTACAGTATGTTTGCATACAAAAGGATGTCATTTGGATCGTGTAATGCCCCTGCCACATTTCAACGATGCATGATGTAATCTTTTCAGAAAATGGTGAAGAAAATCATTACAGTCTTCATGGATGACTTTTCAGTGTTCAATTTATCATTTGAAATTTGCCTCTCAAATATGGGAATGCTCTGGTGAGGTAATGAATTTGGTGCTAAATTGGGAGAAGTGCCACTTCATGGTGTAGGAAGGAATAATTTTGGGCATAAAATTTCAGTAGATGGTATCAAGGTGGATAAAGTAAAGATTCAATCACACCCACTTCAATTAAGTAAGTACATAGTTCCTCGGCCATGCCGGTTCTTATTAAGGATTTTTTCAAAATCACAAAGCCACTTTTTAACTTGGTTGAAAAGGACACACCATTCAACTTTTCTGAAAAGTGTTTGACAGCCTTCAACACTCTGAAAGAAAACTTAATTTCTGCATTGGTTATAGTTGTACCAAATTGGGAATCACCATTTGAGTTGATGTGCGACGTTAGTGACTACGCAATATGGACGATATTGGGTCAAAGAAAGAATAAAATTCTCCATGTTATCTACTACATGAGCAAGACTTTGACAGAGGCATAGCTAAATTATGCAACCACTAGAAAGGGGCTACTGCCATTGTATTTGCCTTTGATAAGTTTAGGTCATATTTCATGAGATAAAAGGTAATTGTCTACACAGATCATGCCACCCTGAAATATCTTATGTCTAAGAAGGATGCGAAGCCCAAGTTGATTCGTTGGATACTTCTCCTTCAAGAGTTTGATTTGGAGATTTGAGACGAGAAGAGAAGTGAAAATGTGATAGCAAACCATCTTTCAAGGCTTGAATAGGTAGAACAGATGGATGAGGTTGATCCCAGACGAGCGTATCTTTGCAGGTGATAGTGGGCCATAGTATGCGGACATAGTGAGCTACTTAGCATGTAATGTGCTTTCACCTGAGTTCATGCACCACCAGAGAAAGAAATTCTTCTTGGAGCTGAAGTATTATCATTGTGAAGATCCTATCTTATACAGAAAGGTGCTGATCAAATCATTTGAAGGTATGTACCAAATGAAGAGGTCTCTCAAATTCTAGAGTGTTGTCACTCTTTCGCTCAAGCTGGGTATTTGGGGTCTTATAAGACAGCGTCGAAGGTTCTACAATCGGGATTTTACTAGCCATCCTATTTAAGGATACTTATGAATATGTGAAAACACTATGATCAATGCCATCGTACAAGGATGATTCCAAAATGAATAAGATGCCCTTGAATTTGATTTTAAAAATGGAGCTCTTCAACATTTGGGGGATTGCTTTTATGGAAACATTTCCTTTCTGTTATAAAAATCAGTACGTGTTGGTGGTAGTTGACTATGTATTGAAATAGATAAAAGCAGTAACATCACCAACTAATGATGCTCGAGTCGTTCTAAATTTTCTGAAGAAGAACATATTCTCATGCTTTGGTACTCTTCAAACTATTATCAATGATGGAGGTATACACTTTGCAGCAAGCTTTTAGAGTCAATATTAGCAAAATTTGGGATGAAATGTCGGGTTGCTACACCTTATCACCCATAAACAAGTGGCTAAGTGGAAGTGTCTAACTGGGAGCTAAAGAGAATTCTTGAGAAGAAAGTGAATAGTTTAAGAACCAATTGATCGCAAAAGCTTGGCGATGCATTGTGGGCATACATGACTGCCTACAGAATACCAATATGCATGTCACCATATCGTTATGTATTTGAAAAATCTTGTCACCTTCTAATGGAATTGGAGCATCGCGTAATTGGGCAGTAAAGCAGTTTAACGTGGACATGACAATAGCAAGAGAAAAGAGGATGCTATAGTTGAATGAGTTAGATGAATTTTGGAATGGAGGATCGCATATATTGGGCAGTAAAACAGGTTAAAAAGTATTGTTGTTCAATTCTAGGTTGAAACTTTTTTCCTAGGAAATTGCATTCTAGATGGTTTGGGACATTCACGATTGTTCAAGTCTTTCCACATGGGGGCAGTTGAAGTAAATCACAAGACAAAAAGAACCTTCAAAGCACATGGACAACGGTTGAAAGCATATTGGGGTGGTGATTTTGATAAAGAAAAGTAATTCACCCAATTCCATATATGACAGTTTAGCTAAAAACTATAAATTAAACACTGGTTGGGAGGCAACCCGACTTTCTAACTTTTTTATTTATTTTGCTTTTTGTACCACATTTCATATAGATTTATTTTGATTATTAGTTAGTATTAGATTTATGCATGTTTAAATTTATAGGATATCACTATCCTATTGTGTTACTTCGATTGCTCGGGTAAAGTAACACATGTTCTAGATTATTAATTTTTAATGTTTGATTTAACTGCTATATGAAGGGTCATGACATTGTGGAATACTCAAACCAATATAGATCAAGGGAAAACATGATGAAAGAGATTGTCTAGCTGTCAACCATAATGACTCACATATTCCACAGAAAAATTCTAGAAGTACCTTCTTCCTTTTCTTCTCTGTCCCCTTATAAGAACTTTTGCTTTAAGATATTGAGAACAATGTTGATTTTAAGTTTGGAGATGGGAAAACTCTGAGTTTTT